CCATAGAAGTCAACCATCCCTGAAGTAGATGATCGGAACCAGTCAGTATAGCTCGGACAACCTAGCTGACCACAGAAGTCAGCGAAGTTTCAACTTTACATCCGAGAAATAAGCTGTAGAAACACTCCGGCAACCGGACTCCGGAGTAGAAACCAGCGAGGATTCCGCCAGCATGGCCCGGAACACGGCATAACGGCGTGTTCCAAGCCATGCTTGCCAATGCACCCATGGCTTACCCCGGCAACCGGACTCCGGAAGTAAGAACCCAGAGCTAGTCGACCGCAACAAGGCGGACTGTGCCAACTATGACCTGCTACCTAGAATCGACCACAGAAGTCGACTTGCCAACGGTAGCCGACCGCAGAAATGTTACCATTCGACCAACTGACGTCGACCTGATGGAAGCATATGGGGATAGCCTTACGGCAACCTTTACTGACCACAGAAGTCGGTAAGGTTGACCGCAGACCGCGGTGTCTAACCACGATCTTAGTCTGGACGGATTCTCCGTTTGAACCCAGACCTACAGGCTCTCAACTAGGAACCTGTACCCGGAGTCCAACCGCAGTCTCCCCCGGAGGATATCGGATAAACCAACCGATTCACCGGTGACCACGACTACGCGCGTCTCGAACGTGCTGCCATTCCCTGAAGAGGAACAGCGACGGTGATTTGGCTACCGGCGTACCAACGACTCCGCCGCGACCTGCTTCCCCATGTCTCAAATGGAACATCCTAGGCAAACCGTGTTAGAACACACGGCCTGCACCCCCATACAGACCCCCACGGACGTGTGATGTCTTCCCCAACAGAAGCGGTAAGGCGTCACAGGTTCGCGGAACGGAACAAAGAAACTCTGAACGGCCAACCGACGCCATGGAACCGCCAAACTCGACGGAACTCCGACCGTCCAGAGGCAAAGTCACGAACCCGAACCAGGGCATATTAGAGGCACGAACCGGATACTGCTCCAGAACGACTCTGCGGAGCCCGGATGGAGGCCCAGAGGCTTAGAACGACCTCTTAACGGACGGAATCGACCTGGATGAAGAACCACCGACCTCGGGCTGGGTAACATTACATCCAACCTCAGGTCGGATAAGGTGAAGTTACCGACAACAGGTCGGTCAGGAGCGTGATTCGACCGAAACGGACTTGTATGGCTCCACTTCGAGCTTGCATACCGTAACTCACCCCGGTTGGACACGGAATCACGGACTTACCGACCTCAGGTCGGATAACATTGTACCCGACCTCGGGTCGGATATGTGAAGTAACCGACAACAGGTCGGTGAATGGAGACACCATTGAAGATGTCCACGGAAAACGACTTCCGGACGGATGAAATCGACCTCGGTCGACCTGCGAAACGGGATAACCGACCTCGGGTTGGATAACATTATACCCGACCTCAGGTCGGACATCAGGAGTCACCGATAACAGGTCGGTGAAGGATCATCAAATTGAAGAAACGACCTCGAAGTGGACGAATCCGACCTAACGGGACTTGTTTGGCCCCACATGGGCCTAAATCACACGAGTTACCGAGGTCGACCATGGAGGTGCGTTATCACCGACCTCAGGTCGGATAACATTGTGACCGACCTCAGGTCGGATATCCATCCCAACTGACAACAGGTCGGATGACAACAGTGAATCATCAACGGATGGACGGAGCAACAAATTCCGACCGGACCCTCGAGCCAGTTCGCCTCGGAAAAGTCACAACCAGGCTCGTGGTAGCAGATTTAACGGTTTTAACCGACCACACTTTATCGGCATCACCACTTGGTGACCACAGAAGTCACACGACACAAGTACGGTTTTGCCCGATTCGAACTCTGGAATTCGGAACTTAGCCGAATTCCTCGACCACTGGTTAACTCACCAGCAGGTCGACCTTGGTCAAACGACCTCGGTTTAACTTCTCCGGAACGGATGGATACGAGTCGGACGTAAGTGTCAGCCGTGCTTACCCGACCTCGCACAAGTTTACCGGTTACATTGGGTAACCCGGGAACCGACGCCCCGGACCTGATACACCGGATTGCATTTAGACAGGAGACCCCGTGGAAACCCAAGACCCCGTGGACGTCATCCTAGTCGGAATAAGCCCCCGGACAGATCTCTTTTTAGTATTTTTATACACTTTCTAACAAACGGAATTGTATTTTACTTAGAATCTCTAACCAGATCTGTTTTGTCTTTACTTTTTGCTCACTGGAATTGTGATTAAACTTTATTACATTTTTATTTTTTTTTTATTTCGCGCTGTTTAACCGTCATTACACTTTTCTTTTACTTTCTCCGCGAGCCAACAGAAGCAAGATGCCTGCCAACAGAAGCGAAACCGGTCCAACAACGAACCCCGAGCGGCTTCCAGATTTGCGGCCGTGAGTTGCTTGCCTCTCATGGATCTGGAAGTGAAGGATGGGATGGTCAACAGACACCGGACTCCCATTGGAAGAGGACGCGTACCGGCGACCCCACATGGGTCGACCGGAGAGGTGCGACGCTGGCGCGGTACTGAGTCGGAGCATCCTCGCAGGAGCTCGGATTCCCGCCCAGAGGCATGTTAGAGGCACGACAGCCTGCGTGATAGATACGCCACTTTGCGTATGCGTATCACTGCACACATGCTGATTCGCCCTCTCTTGTACGTACGTGAGTGGCTGCACTGCACTCTCCGCCTAGCGGATACACCGCGGGCGCACTCACTGAGCATACTTGCTCTCTCGCTCCTCTCTCTCGCTGTATGACTCAGCGCTTATACGCTCGCGTTGGATACGAGTCCAGTCTGCGCACTCACATTCCTTGTGTCTGGACAGCGTGACGCCGTTGCCGCCAGCACATTCTATTCTCGACAATTCATTACGCGTAGAACTCGCTCGCAGCAACTTGACTGCTGATTTTCGGCCAGACATTGGCTTTGTTGTGTTTTTTCTCCCGCAATCACGCGGTATTTGCTCCACTTTATTTGTACAATAAAGGCACCTGTGAGCCCCCTGCGCTTGCCTGTCACAGTTCCAATTTGAACTTGAATTTTAAAAAAAATATACTTCAACTTTCAAATTTAATTTAAAAGTTAAAAAAATTGAAGTTTAAATTTAAAAAGTTTCATTACATGATCGTGTTTGTTAATCCAAACTTGGTTTCAAACTTTTTAATGGTTATTGTGTACTGTATCGAATTTTTCCGCATTATCTGCGAAGTTGGTATATGGATTAGTAACCTCAAGAGGTTACTACATGGCTTAACCATTGGCTTTACGAGCTAGCAATCTAGTCACGACTACCAATAGCATCGTCTGTTTATGCAGACATTTGCGCTACATAGTCGGAGCTACATAGCCAGCTACGTAGCAGTAGTCAGCCAGCATAAACTCATTTTGTGGAACTACTTGCTACCAAAACGGCTACGGGAGACCACGCCTGCGAAAATGGTAGCAAGTAGCAAGTAGTCAGGTTCGATAAACTGCCTCTTGGATACAGTACTGTCTTGCATACTTGCCAGTTGCCACCGTAGCTGTCTTGCAATTCGCAGCAGTCAGTCAAACACAAAATGGCCAAAGAAAAAAAATACAACCTTTATTGCGATTTCATCCCTATCCAGGCGTGCATGCCTGCCATTACTTACATAACGAGGAACCTATAGCCGCACAAAAGAACAGGACAATGTATTATTCCCTATAAAACTATAACTCATCAATTTCCTTATGTAGTTGTCTTTACTTACATGCGTTTAGTCTCCCGGCATTAAAACCCAAAACCTCCGATGTACAGTTAAGCTTAGAAAAAAAAATATTAAACAAAATTTTGATTAAGTTTTCCAAAGAAAATGGAGTAAAAGGGAAAGCATGGAGAGACTAAACTTTAAAGGAAATTGTCCTGTTCTTTCTGCAACTTTACATAGCTTAATATCCTATATCGCAATAAGGTAAATTGTAACGGAACATCATGTCATAACAACAACCATCGGGGACACAGAACTGAGGAAAATAACAGCATCATTGACGATCGTGCTGAGATCGACCGGCAAGCAAGAACGACTAACGTGCACTGACAGTAAACAAGTCATTCGGGCGTGGTACACTCCAGTCTTTATTTGATTTGTTTAAGAAAATAACATAAGAGCAAGTCAGAGAAATAATTTTTAAATTTTTAAACATTATTTCTCTGACTTGCTCTTATGTTATTTTCTTAAACAAATCAAATAACATGAACTAACAATTTCCAACGACATTAGTCAAAGCCACTAGGATAGACCAAGCCAAGAAACGAGATAAGATCAGGAACGCCTACTCCGCTGAACTAGCATACGAGTCTACGAAGAAACGGTTGAAAAAAGTCGTATGTAAACTATAACAATTCATGCATGCAAGATATCCAAAATTTTGTAACGGCAGCCCTCAGTAGTATAACGTGTTTGAATTTTTGGTACCTTGACCGCATCCAACATCTTAACTTACAAATTTTTATCAATTTCTGACTCAAATTTTAATTCATTGCGATGTGTACGCGCATGACCTCGATTTAAAAAGACAATACCACGGAATGAATGGGATGGATAGAATGTTTCCCGAATCATGCGGTATCACTATCTAGGTTCATTTCTAATTTTTTTTAAAAGGTTGCATCGGTTTCGCTACATTGTTTTAATTGTATCACTCTTGCAGTAAACGCATCCATCTAACTTGCGTCAGACTAACGCATCCATCTAACTTGGAATTACTTACTGAATAAATTACACAAACTATCGAAGGACGCTGGTCTGCCAATAAAGTCCAAAACGGTAAAGTGTTTAACGGCAGTCTGTTATGCAGCGGTTAAAGCCAACGGTAAAGGTAATTTCAAATGGCTTTTTGGGAAGGCTAATTTGTACGGCAAGGTTTTCGCGGCGGCAAAGGTAATTTTGAAAAAGGCAAAGTGAAAAGGCAAAGGTAAACCTGGCCGACCCGTATTTGCTAACCAAACTAACCATTTAATCTTGCAGACCGACAACTTGCTGACGACTCTGTGCTGGCTGACAAACTTTTACCCGCGATTTTTGCTACGACAAATCGATGAAAGACAAAATTTTGAACGAATATCTGCTACACACGAACAATTACTGATGGCATTCTTTTGACAGTACACACACCATCTCGCAGTTAGGCAACACTGAACGCATGTTAAAGTTACAGAATGTTCCCGTAAATGTTCTTGCCCAAACCTTCTACCGCTCACTCTTATTATCACTTTCGGGCACATCGCTGGTTAACGGTTGCAGTTCGGTGCCTGCCGTTGTCACTGAACCAGCGTCAGATACTTCTTCCACATCACCGCTAAAGGGATGGGTCAGGTCGATAGACGACATAGAGATCTCCACACGTTCTACAACCGCCACGCTTGTCGACAACAGTTGACCGCTTTCAAGAGTTGGCCTCTGTGCGGCACGGCGATTTCGGCGACGAATACCACGCCAAACAACATAAATGAAAGATATTACGCCGAGTCCGACAACGCCGCCAATGCAACCGTAAACCCACCCACGGGATTGGTCATGACTGTGTATCTTGGCAGCGGCTTCTGCAGACCACAGACGAACTGTAAACGCAAATACATCGGCTACTTGGGATTAAAATCTTACCGTTAACCGGGCTGGGTGACACTGGAATAACACCGGGGATCGTGACTTGTATTGATCTAGCCAACCCTTTCACTGCAATAGGCATTGTATAGGTGTTTCGTACCTGGACTTAAGAAACTAACGGAACACTTATGCAGACGCACGAATGGAACGGATGCAAATTGCACACGAAAATAGAAAGATTCTCTGGGGATTAATGCTTAAAACACAGTGATGTACATTACATTTTGCGCCTAAAATAGCAATGTACCAGCAATGAGTGGGTGGTCTGCATCGGCACTGCTGCATAGATCGCGGTCATAGGAAGATGTTGCTGGGATGGTTCTAGGTTCGCCTACATAAATATAGCCTGTCAAGGTGCACCCAGGTGGTACTCTACAAATTGGCTTGTTCTGTGGCTTGCAAAGAGAAACTGAAAAACCAATAATAATCGCTAGTAGCCATTACTTACACAGCGGCTCGTTAACGGAGTACTCGAGCTGCGTAAAGTTGATTGCAGCGTCTGTATCATTCAACAGGTCGGCCAGACAATCAACGGGATAGAACAAATCACTCCTCCTGAACGGTCCACTACCCAGGGCGCCCTCAACGTACATTATCTCGCCTGCTTCAACTTCTTCCCGCAGCGCCTTGTTGGTTTTTCTCCATCGTCGAAAGTCAGCAAAATCACAGCTGCAATGCAGCCTGTGTAAGTACTCCAACTGTTGCGAGCGGGTAACATTAAAAAGCAAACAGGTCGGATTAAGAAGATCAAACTCCAGGCTCAGTACTTCGAGACTCGACAGCGTGCTAAACGTCTCAGGCTCGAGTGTGCGAAGAGTGCTGCTAACGAACGTCAAGACTTGCAACCGCTGGAGGCCGTAGAAATCCGCTTTCCTTATTACCAAACCGTAGCACAGTTGTAGCGCAATGTCCATAACACTAACGAGCCCGAACACCGACAGCACCGACGTAAAACGGCAGTCTCGGCAGCGAATAAACATTGCCACCACTATCTGTCTACGAATGGGTTGGAAGGCGTCGGGCGCTGCATACCTTTCCCGGCTGTCCAGTAAATGCAGTCGGATTGCACGCAGTGGAATTTTCGCCACGGTGACGGCCGCTTGGTTCCAGTCCTCGACGGTTGTGTTTGAGCCGCATACAAGCTGTATCGTTTTCCAAGCCAAGCAGTTTTCCATATCGCCAACGTTACATTTCAACGTGGATAATGCATTACACATGGGCTGAGTAAGATTGTCTTTACCAAATTCGGGAAGCGGCTCGGCAACCGACAGTTGGCTTCTCTGCCTGCTACAGTTGTAAGCTGAGTATAGCTTTACTATGTCCTTAGCGCTCAATGATCGCCGCTGGCCCATTTTTATTCCTTTTCCTTTCTTTGGTGCAGCTTTGGGAAAAAAAACAGGTAGATCTGGGTTCTCAGGACTAGCGAGGTCAAAAACGCCGTAGTGCATAATCGATTCCAGGTCGTATTCTGTGCCGTAACTCGCCATTTGCGGCAGCTTGCGAAAAAAGATACTGGTAGGTGGTAGCTGCGTGCGATTAAAATAGATGCGCAAATAGCCATCACGATCGGCTCGATGGTGTTCGTGGAACAGTCCCAGTGCGTGGAGAACCAAATGCTGGATGGCTCCGCGGAAGATACACACTTCCGCCAGTGTGATGTTCTGCTGACCACCTTGTTTGCCTACGCTTGATTGACATCTGCAAACAACATCAATATTTAATCAGAAAGTAAAGCTTATTCTGAAAACGGAGAAGTCCATGGAATCAGAACGGTTTCTAAGTATTCCGAATACTGAGATTACAGGAAACAGAAACCAGTAATATGACCAACCTTTGTCCCTGCCAAAATGAGATATAGTCCTCTTCATACTTGCGGATTTTAAATTTTATGCACTGCGAAGTGGAGGACGAGATTGAAAGCAGTGCATCCTGGATAGCTTCGATGTCCTGAAGACCTTACCCAGGAAAAGCGACATCACGCATGGTTGAAGCGGAATAGAATTCAATATATCATAGTTAGATGAATTCTAAGCGTAATATCGTATTAGGCAAACGTTGCACATACTGAATGCTTCGCTAACGGAATAAGGGATGGCCGTGCCGCTGGTCGACCAGAACCTGCTATCCGGCAAGTTTCCAGATTCGGAAGCGGGGTTGCTACTAAGCTCCTGATCGTCGTAGTAGTATGTATTACCGGTTCCGTCGATTGCTTTTATAGTCAGCTCGGATCGTCGCTCGTTCAAAATTGGCTGATTGATACTTGAAATCCATTCTGCAGCAAAACAGCCCGAGTCGATCTATGCTAATCCGAATACACTAGAAAAACATGCAGTGAACTTCATGGGCATTTCATGCAACACGTACACGCGTTGTTGCAGTGTTAATACACCCTTCAACCTGTTTCATCTCTGCAGTTTTTGAATTCTTGAGGGTTGGCAACCTACTGATATGCTTGTCTTCTTACAGTATGTTTACAGCGCTGTCGCGCTTTTCAGCGATTAAATCAACGAAACGGTTACGGTACTTCTCACTCCCTCGTCTCCCAAACTGCGCATTTTACGCGTAGATCCACAGACAGTTTATTTGTTTGCGGAATGAGATACAGCCCTGCCGGAAATAAAATCTTCCGTTAAAACGAAGAAGTTCCGCTAGTGAGTCCCAAGAACATCGTTATGCACAGCTCGTTAGGGTCACACTAAGGGAATAATTCGTACAGCGCCTGCTCGTACAAGTTCGGGCCACTGCACTCACACACACTAAGTGACGTGCAGCGCAGCGCTGAGCTCACATGCAGTCTAACACGTAAAGGCAGGTCGAAGTTCCAACGTCTGCACCAGTACAGCTGATGTTCAGAGTAGGAGCGATAAACCTAACTCCTCACACTGCAAACATTCCACAAGTGAAGAACCTTCGCCTGGAATTCAACGTAGGAGCTCCTTTTATTCGTGATGATTTTCATTATTATGAAAGGTACATTTCAAGCTTTACGTAGTAAGAACTGTGCGATGGCGTCTTCTAAATGTCTGAATGGACAGGTAACTGGGACTACAACGACTCAACATACAGGAGCTCCTTGTAGCTGCTTTTCTTCAAACAGCGCCTCAAAGGTAAGTTGACTGCGTTTATCACTGTAATTTTGACTTTTTTGTTTTAGAAACAACCACAGTGTAGATGGTTTATGAGTCGATGCTGGTTTAAGGTGCTATTCCGTCAGCGGAGCTCCGCACAGGCTTGTCCAATCTGCGCCGTATTCCTTTACGGATGAAAAAATTTTAAAAAAAAACAGTCCACATAAACCACCAACACCAAATGGACAATTAAGTTAAAAAAGAAAACTGGGTCGCAACAAAAACTCCAACAAATTTTAATTGTTTTTATTAATAAACAATTTTGCAAGAACTGTTTGGCATTTGCTGCTTTTAAAATGCCGTGCCATTTGGCTATTAATTTCCCAATTGGTTAATATTGAGCCAATTAGCGTCTTTCTTATGATCACGCCTAGTGGTTTTGCGCAAATACGGTTAGACAGAGCGGATAGATGCTCGACAGGCCAATGCGAGAGCGGACATACTAACGTGCTCCGTTGATATGTGGAGTCATATCAACGCAACACGCTACGATCTCACTTTTTCCGGGAGGGCAGTATGCAGCTGCAGAGATATGAGATATAAACCTACGCACCGTATTGCATCCGGTCTAACAAAATCCCACCAGTTGCCGACCAAAACGATGTTTTCAACCGCTATGAATGGAGCTGAGGTCAACCCGCATCAGTTTGATTCAGTTGACCAGCCCTGCACTTACCTTTCGCAGAAGCAGCCTTTCCGCCGGCGCTCCGGTTGTGTACTTTGCAGTCGTGCCATTCGGATGGCGTTGTCGAGCAGTTTCCCGCCACACTTGACCCACAACTCGGCGCACTGACCGAATAATTTATCTGGATGTAAGTGTGATCTATGGCACCCCGAGGATTGTCCGCTTTGGCTTTACTGCAGTCGAAGGGTGCATACAGTTCCTCCTTTTTCCAGCAGTAGCGCTCCCGGTGGAATCCGATTGCATCATCCGTGTCGTATTCAAAGGCAACTATCGTCGTAGCGATGTTAGACATGCGATCTCCGCAGACATCGCGAACACTGAGATCCGAAATAACCATCTCATTTGGAAACAAGATGCTCATCGGATCGATGATACGCCGCTGTAGCCAGCTACGAAACTGTGAATACTGACAATCACAATGAAGTCTGCGGAGATACTGATAATAATTCGCCGAAAGATTGAGCCGGTCCTGCACCGTGTATTCCAGGGATAAAAGCTGTAGATTCGACAGAGCGGTGAACGTGAACTGTGAAACCCCGATGACCGTTGTCCTTTGAAACAGAAGAACACGTAGATCCACAAGGTCACTAAAATCCTCAGATTGCACAATAATCTCTGAACACGAAGCAATGGCCATATATAACAGATTAGCGAAGTCAAGATCCGATAGCTTTGCCGTGGGACGTTGATCGACGCAGTCGTGGAAGTGCAGTTTCAAGACCTGCGTCCTGATGGGGGCAAACGCACGATAGACGATGTATGGTCCGTCAGCCAAGATTAAGTAGATCGGCCGTAACAGCGGCTTAGCCAGAGCAAACGCAACCTCTTGCGCATCCCTCACTTTGGTGTCACCGGTACAGCCAACATACAAAGTCCGTGTGGAACTACGGAACAACTCCTCACAGTACTCTACTATGGCCGTTTTCCTATCTTGGCGTGGAGCAAACCGAAAATCCCCCGGTTTGCATGACAACCCAAACTGCAGCCGACACTGGGCGGCGTCGATGGGTGCGGCGGAGAAAGTTCGCTTCCATTTCATACGGCTATATGATGCATTATGGGTACGTAATGGGCATTGTGGTTCGTGGATGGAAAATTCCCGCTGCGTAAAATCAATCACGCTGAAGTCAGATGGAAATGGTTGCAGCGCGCAGTCAATGGGAATGTATATATCGTTTCTGTTGAGCGTTATGCCGGGGGTAATGTGTGAGGTATTGGAATAATAGAAAATCAGTGAGTCTGCAGTTGGCAGCGTCAGCATATCGTTCTCGCGAAGCCATTTTCTCAGCCAGGCAAATTCACAGTCGCAGTGCATTCGCTGTAAATAGTCGCACCGACTACGTGCACGACGGTCGTCTTCGCTATCATTGTCCGAATAATCTAAACCTATTGTTCCGAAATTGTACAGCAAGTCTTTATGCCACGCCAGAATTCGCAGTTCTGGTAGGCTGGTAAAGGTCCCCTCTTCCAAATACACAATGGTCACCTCCATGAAAATTACGACCTTCAGCATGAGCATCAGTTGGAAGTCAGCCTTCTTGATACGGATGTCCATACAGTTACGCATAATAATTTGTTGGAGATTCACAAACGAGAATCTCCCGAATCTCTCCGTTGGATCACGAACGCGACAGTTCTGCATGATCAACGTCAGCACCTGTCTTTCCACGGGCGACAATGCTGCGACGGTAAACTGCTGTTCCAGTAACGCAACATTCACCGGTCGCAACGGTGCCGCAGCCATGGCCAGCGCCATGACCCGCAGATGCGCAGCATCCGCTTCTTCCTCGCACTCGATATTCAACGAGCTTTGACTGGTGCAGTTTTCCCTCGTCGTGGTGGAACTCTTACAGTACCGAGTAAACTGTAGCGCACACTGTGCGGCTTGCATCGGCAGTCCTGAGAATCCTGTCGACATTGGCTCCTGGTTGTCGGTTTCGTGCCCCTGCTCCACTTGACATCTGTAGGCATTACGCAGTTTTGCGGCATCGCGTACGCTCAGACCATCTCGTTGCCCCATACGATACACACCCTCGTGCCGGGGCACGATAACGGGACGATCGGTGGTTTTAGCAAAATCGTACGGCCCATAGTGCATTAGTGAGTCCAGATCGTACGCCGTCCCGAATGTGGGCATGTCGGGAATGATGCTATACTGGGATATATAGTTTTCCATGATCTCTTCGTCATTTATGATTACACTGGCGTTCCGATCAGGGCGACTATGCTCGTGATACAGACCCAGGGCGTGCAGGATCTCATGCTGCACTCTCCCGAGCTGAATACACTTGGCTGGATGGAGAAATACAGGCTGCCGGCCGCCGAGAACCCCCACGAAAGACGAACAACTGCAATTAAGGTTCGCTGTCGTATGTGATCGACTCCAGCGAAACGGTAATATCGCGAATAAAGTCAGTAATATCGCGAATAAAGTCAAAACGCCTAGACTTTATACTGTCGCGACTGTCAGAAGTTAGGTCACAAAGCTTGTGCCACTGGCAGGCTAGAAGCAGCGTGTGCGTTGCCCGTTGACAACCACTGTGGTGAGTGTGGTCTAGCTTGTGACCGTGGGCCGTGGCAACAGTGTTTGTCATGATCATAAGCAAAGAAAATACTAGCTGCACTTGAATATGACGCTGTACACGATAATGCCACCCCATGGCCACACGGGATAGCAGAAGCAAGACACCGACTACTATGCTAATTCATAAATGCCTTTAGTTAAATATATCCTTGTTTCATAAGACCTTGTTTCATTCGTTTTGTACAGCAATTAAGAAACGAAATGGCTGCACATTCCGACAATCGCGGCGCAAAGACATTTCCGGACATAGCCCCGAACCGTAGCACTAACGTAAAAAATTCTATTTGAAGGTTAACAGATTACATCTGCTCCACTATACGGCTTACTTTTCGCCCGGTACAAAGTGTACGTAATTCGTTTGGTTCTTTCTCGGTGTAAATATCACACAGTGAAACGTTGTACGCTCGACTGCAGACATTGCTTGCTGGATGATAAAAACATCTTGGGAGGCTGAAAATATGCAGATACAGAAACCATGATATGTAAAAAGTAAAAACAAATGACGAAACGATGATATAAAAATGTAGCAAATTCTTGTAAACAATAATTGCTGAGCTCACTCCAATCCAGGTGCTCAAAACGTGCACGTGTTAGCCTCACCAAATAATTCACTTATACGATAAGGAACCTTCCCATTCGGCCATAAAACAAGCTGTCTGCGTCCTGTAAAATCAAATAGTTGTCTTACTTGATGCGGCATAATCCAGTGCAGCAAATACACAGGCCAGCGCCGACGACACAAACTTTCAAACATTAAAAAATTGTGCTTGACTTTAATATAACACCATAAGTCAAATAATTATATGCCCATAGACAGAGTATATGCAATATACCCGTTACGTTTTCCGGGCCGAGTCCGATGCAGCATCAGCAAACATTATGTCGGCTTCCAGCAATCCATGGGTATTTAAACTACTCAAATGGACCTTCATAATATCCGGGTCTATGCGATGTTGCCAGTCTGTAATCGGCACATCAAAACCTGACTAACGGCTAAGATTCTTTGCTAGCTTAGTGTTTCCTGGTTAGCCTGCGATGCATAACTCGCGCACTTAAACGGTTCCTGATTTACCGCATTACAACGTAGGCAACGACGTACCTTCCCACCCAAAATTTCTTTGCCCACCCAATACATATACAACACAGTTTCTGTGATAACTGGGTGATTTTCATTCTCATTTACAACTTACTCGTGTATGAACATTCGTTCTTATACAAGTTGCGAGCATATTACAATGCTATGTATATATAATTGGTAAATCAGTTTTATACCGTTTATTACCGTCGGGGAGCCCATCTTGACCATCTTCCAAGTCGTCGTGATAATCCCGGTCGTCCCAATATCCACTTATAGAGCGTAATGCGCTTATGTAAATAATCAGCTGGTACGAGAACATTTCCCGCAAAATCCAGAGTAACAGCATCACCGTGCTTTGCTGTCGAACTAAAAAAGGTACGTTAACCAAGACGGCCCATATATGTAATACCTCCTATCAGTTACCCATCAGCCAGATTTTATCTCTTTGCCTTCGATTTACTAACATTAAACACCGGTAAATCAAGCAGCTCAACAAGACGCTTTGCCCGAGGCTCCGCTTTGCCCGAGGCTCCGAGCAAGCCAGAGACATTCAGCATGCGTACAAAGCAGTGTGGGCGATACTCTCAACCATACTTTATGATATTTCTTCCCCATTCTCACTAAACAAATTTTTTCCGCCACTGAACGTAAGGAAGCGCCTTTTCCCAAGATTTCCTTTTCTTAAAATTTTGTTACCATTTCTTCACCACGCTGATGTTTGTATTGCTTCTAGCTAAGTTGTTGGCCAGGCAAGTGAAGCAACAAAATTAATAGCGGCAGGGAATATGCCAGTTCACAATGCTCTCGCATGAATGCACATCGCTTAACATATTATGTAAAGGTCACTGATTTTATTTTGTATCAAAATCGTGGCAGCTCGCGTGTAATCCACCATCGGGTGGAGGTGTCAGGAATTTAATTGAAGAATTGGTGATTAACATAAATTTTAATAATGCGATGTTGGAGTGAAAATAATTTAATTTTTAATTGGGTATCTGCCGTCTTACGTGACGGCAAATCGATTTGCAAATTATGTGTGTCTTTTATTGAGTAAATTGTGAGCCGTACATTCGTGTGCCGTGTTCGTCTTTATGACCTTTCCTTCCTTGAGCAATACCACCAACTCAGAACAGTCGTATGTCTGGAGGGCCGCTCAACAGCAAACCTCGTTGAGCTCCCTTATTGTAGAGTGCTGCAGTATACTGCAATATAGCGCGCCAACTACTCTACTTATCCAGTAAATCTCGTAGAAAATATAAATGCTGCAGTACGTATGACTTTGTGTCGACATAGCATTTGGTCATTAGTTTTGACGATTATAACTGCGGTGTGCAGTTCGGTTGTCCAAAAAAATATTGACCAGGCCAGTATGAACCCCCGCGGCCGGTGTTCACTACACAGAGTTCACGTAGCGATTTCGCTGTCACTACGTGTAATTTAATCAAGCCAATCTACTGTCCACTCTTACCATAATACACATTACTCTCACATTATTCGAACGATTCCAGTTTCCCATGTGGTTTTCATTTCGTCGCATAGAGGATGCCTTGTACACTACATTCCTCAATGCTTCCTACGTTTATTTACCTTACCGACAATAAATAAAACTATAAAATTAAGTAAATGTTAAGGCATCACTTGTGCTGAACTGAATTTTAGCGAAGTCGCGCTAAGCCTAAAGCATCGTTGTTGAATATGTAATCGTCTCATCTTACAGACTTATCGCCAGGAGAGATCTCTTGTTATGTGCCGCTGTAATACGATTTATAGGCCAAATTTGTTGTCAGAAAACAGATCATAATAGGTATAGCTGAAACTTCTTGGAATCGACTGTATAGCCCAGACAAGGTGTAACTGGCTGTTCGCTGATTACTGGTTATTAGCTTATTAGTATTTGCTGTTGGTTCTATATAGTGTCGAACCCCAGTTATCATCGGCACCGTGATTTGGAGAACAAGTTTCTCCATTTTTGTCCAAATTTCCCGTGCAGTGTGTGCTCGTAGTCAGTCATGGGCGATCACTTGAGATTACGATTTATGCTGTTCTGCTTAGTTGCGGTCAATGTACAATGTGCGATGGAGGCCAGTAACAATATTACTACCACTTTACATGGAGAACTTCCGGATTCCGATCAATGTAAGTATAACAAGCCTCGCTTCCATGGCTGCAGCTTACCCTGAAAGCGCGTGTTGCGTATTAGTCGAAGGATTCGACAAACTGACCACCAGTCTGTGCGCCGACGCAAACACCGATAAATCGGCCAACGTATCTCATGTCAAGGATAAGCTACAGCGGCTGGTCGGTGCCAGATCCTACCTGAACCAGACGGACATTCCCGCCGATCAGCAAGACGTCTTATTTCTCGCGCAGTTCAACGGCTTGTTAGCGCTGCTGGAACACGTTGGTCTGCACAGTTTGTTGGCGTATGTAGTTAATCGCAACTTTTCCGTCTGTGATTGGGAACAGGCGCTTAATTACGCGTGGACGCCCAGCTTTGGTAAACTGCAACTTCATGTTTAGCAGTTTTCACAATTTTCGCAGCCATCGCGCATGATGCATGCCGTATATGATTGATCTCACATTTACTGTGTACAAATACAATTGTTCATGATCATAATAAAGCTCACTATGCATGTACTCTGTATGTAATTACAGAGGCGTATACAACCAGCTACAACGGCACTGTGCTGAGCTCGCCATACTCTGTACGTCCGCATTCTTTCCATCCTGAATTCTAACGAAACAGTTCTTCCCGCTAACCTCGAATTTCCTGATTCACGGTAATAAAACAGTGAGTTGTACATTAAAACAATATCGTATTCATTGTTAGCTGAAGTCATTGCGGAATGACGTTAACAGCGTACCAGCTACCAAAATATTTACATAGCATATAGGATACTGTGCATTGCAGGGATTTTAAAGTTTCATTATTAAAGTCCCTGAATGATGTCTAAAAACAGAATGATTTTTAGCATTACGTAATAGGAGCGTCCAGTTTTAACGAAAGTTTTCAGTATTTAATGAGACATTTTATTAAGACAAGCACTATTTATTGCATTGGAAAAGAAAATCCACAGAAGAATTGAGTTGCATAAGTTACTAGCAGATGCCTGTTAAAACATCGACATGTCCTTAATATCTGTAGTAGGATCTCGCTGCTACTCGGTGCGAATTAAGTCCTGAACTTGTTTGCGAGCGAACAGTCGGTTGCGCAGCGGGCCGCAGCCCAACGCTGCGATGCCACTTCGCATCAGCACCTGATCAGCATCAGTAGCACTCGAGCATATGAACTAATACATGCAGCCAGACAATTATTATGGTCTTTAAAGCAAGGTACGCGGTTTCACACAAATCTAGCTAACAAGTAAGAATCCGCTCAGTGTACGACGAGAAAGCGCTGACTGATAAAACGCAGTGCATCTCACGCACAAACAAGCAAATTGCTTGATAATTAGTTTCGGTTTATTGCAGAGTACAAGTAGTCCGCGTTATCTACATGGTTTGCTTAAACAGTTACACTAGTAAAGACTCCGAATCCGTAATAGCAGCGGAGGACGCGTTTAAGGTCACCCTGCCCGCGCAGCAGATAACGCAGCCCAGCATCAAACTGTTCAGGCGCCGATTGCAAGCTCCACGTGTGATTGTGTGGGACCTCCTGGCGATACCGGCCCACTTTGCAGCTGTCCCAGTTTCACAGGACATTCTTCGTACCGATCACTCGACGTGGTATAAATCTACAACAGCCTGCTCGGATTTTTTGAATAGCCGGAAAGAGGCGTTGTCGTGCACGACGCGAGCTGAAGACAGCGTGTCATTTAATGCGATAACAGCAACATACTTCCTTGTATCGAACCTCAATGGATCATATTCACAGTAAGGCGGTTGGCGACAACAATGTATCACAAATATTAACTACGACAGTTTGCCGGTAATGACACGCTAGTTTACCGTGTCGATTGTTTGTAGGAAGGAAATAAGCTACTACAGTTGTCTAACGTTTGTGGGCAACAAAATCTGGGTTGGATGGCTGCTGGATCAGAACGCTTCGGTACCCGGCGTCTACCGTCCGCCCGTCGGCGACCATCATCTTATCAAGCCGCAGCACTCATTCCATGTGTATACCTCGCAGCCCGTGCAACCACTGCTGTTCCCGCTTATTGAAAAACTATTCAGCGCACAGCTCGGACAAAGCCTAAGTACTGATTTCGATCGCACAATGTTAAATCGTATAACCGCTTTAATGTTGCAAGGTGACGGTCAGTCTGTGAGCGTGGTGCTGTGGAGACCCGATCGGGATGCCGAGAGAACGATCAACTTCATCGTGCACTTGCTGGTTAATGGCAAAGTCGTTGCTGAACTGGACGCTCGCCTATCGTATGCCGATGCGATCTACACAAGGCTGGAGAAAGCCTTCGGATCCGACGTAAAGTCGCCTGAACAACCGTTCTCTCCGGACTTTTACATTAGCCGACAGCCAGTCGTTTAGCATCAGACTTCGACAGAGAAGTCACATCAGTTCTACTTTATAAAGCCGTTTTTTGCCACTACAGTAATTAGTAGATTGAGTCAACACATAGTTAGGAGATGGTCAGCTTTAATTATGTACTCTCTTACGTAAATTGCGGTATTTACGTTTTTTCTTGCTTGCTCAACGAAAGCCATACAAATACAGGTTCAGTAATAATAAAACGAAAATCACTCGGCAAAGGCAGTACCCGCGATCAATGAGCGTTTTTCAGAGTTAAGGAAATATATGCCGGAGTGCGTCGGTAAATGATTGGAAAACCATGAGATGAATTTTAAACATTTTGCAAGTTCCAGTTGTCTGCGATTCAGTCACGATCAGTCGACCACAATAGCAAAAGAATCATAATCAGTAAAATGGCATTGTAGCAACCATGGCGCAGGCGTTGTATAAGTTATTGTTCAGGATTTTGTCATCCGGATAGCGCCAAAAATTCCACAGATTCCCGGTCTCCATCTCCCGGTAAGTCGCAGCAAATTCAAATTTCACTACCGGTTCCCTAAAAAACCCATGCCGGTGCTTTAACGTAATTTGTCTGCTCCTTCAAATAGCACAGCATGCGTAATTCGTACCCTTGCGCGGTCAGAAAGCCATCAGAACGTCCCGTTAACGCAATATTCAAGTCCAGCCCGTCCATGGATACCGGATTGGCTTCGGCGAACGCGTCCACTATCCCAGCCAAAACAGCATCCGTATCCTGCCACAAAAGCATAATTTTCATTACAATTTTAAAAGAAATACTCACATTTTTGCTGTCTTAATCTATACGATTAAGAGCTGGCTCGGTTGCATATTATATTCTATCAATTGCGCTCTATAAGGAGCGATTCTGCTGAATGCGTTTTCATAGCTCCCATACAAAGCGTATGCAGACTACAGGACTTTCTGCGTTGAAAAAGCGTTTCTAGCTCGTTTGCGAGTCATGCCATAATTTGAAACAGTGCTGCGGTGTTGTCATAAACTGTAATAATGTAAAGTTTCATGTTCGTACCAGTATCTCGGGAGCACCGTATCCCGCTTTGCGCATCAGGAACACCGAGAAGTTTGCAGGCAAAGGACATGCGGTGCTGGCCGCGACCGTTGCTTCCTGTCGGCAGCGCTCTAATAACTGTTGCTTGCCGTCGTCTGTTCTGGGTTTATTCTGGCTGAGTGTGAGGGCGTCGTTATTGTCGCTCGCGTGGTACATGGAATTCCTGGCAAATTTTAACCGACCCACTTCACGGTAAACCCAGTCGTTGCCCATGTCGGGACGCGGATCGACGATGCCACTTGAAAACAGCCGGTCGTTCTTGACGAAGAACTTGACGACGGTGCCGTTCAGATCGGGATCCCATATGATCACATCTAATGGCGAACAAGAAAAGTAAACTGCCGTACCGGTTAAGGGGACCACTAGCAGTAGAAAGCGGGTTTCAGAAAACGGGAATGGTTTGAAAACGATGGCCGGATACGTGTTTTCACAACTTTGAGTGAACGCAAAGAGGACGATATACACAATGGTGTGACGCGATCCTCTCTGGCCTGTGTCTAGACCGAGCTATTCATCAAACAAAGAAAAAACTTTGAAACTAAAAGCTGAATGAGAACGTTTCTTTGTTTATGATGTGATATACATCGGTGTGTGTGTTTTCTTCTAGAAAGCTTATATACCGAAACATACTGGTAGAAAAGTTCAAAATGTTCAAATTAAATGCAAAAAACACTTTCCGAAAAGTGTTTTTCGCAATTTTATGGACTGCATTCCGTTGTACAACATTGGAGTTTCGGTATATAATCTTTCTAGAAGAAAACACACACAACGATGTATATCACATCATAAACAAAGAAACTTTCTCATTCAGCTTTTAGTTTCAAAGTTTTTTCTTTGTTTGATGAATACTCGGTCTAGACTGGCAGAGGATCGCGTCACACCATTGTGTAGCTAAATCCCCTCTGTGTTCAGTCAAAGTCGCGAAAACACATATCTGGCCATCGTTTTCAAACCATTCCCGTTTTCCCAAACCCGCTTTCTGCTGCTGGTGATCCCCTTAATGCAGCGACAATTAGTTCGAATTTTCACCGGATTCATCGTATTTGTGGAATACACGCAGACGCTCTTTGATAGTCTCTTGTAACCGCGGCAGTAGCTGGACGTTGATGGGCTCGCTGCTGTACATCGTAAATGACATAAACGGATGATAAGATCGTCTGCAACAGCAACCGATTTAATATGACCTTTAGCAATACCAGCGTTTAATCACGGTACTAACAACGTACATTCTTGGAATTAAGGCTGATAGAGTTTGACGAATTTCATCGGTAGGAAATCTCCAGATGTTCCAGAATTTTCCCCGTGGCAGATTGACGTATGAAAAGGAGAATGTAAAGCGATACACTTGTGGCTCCTGATTTGACACGCCCTTACGAAAGACCGTGTGGGGAAACGTGGGCAACAGCCGTTCCCGTTTGGTCAGTTTTACTGAGAAAGATGCGTTGCCCACGGTCAGCGGATTGGCTTGGGCAAACGCCAAAGAAACGGCTCGCTGAACCGTGTCAGAGGACTAAAAATAAGCCAATTTTTGGACAACTTACAATGTTGAAGCAAAAATCTATTCGGCCCGCGGGTAAAAAAGTTCATACTGAAATCAATAAAAATTGCGCTAAAGGATCACATTTATGCGCATAAACAGTTGGCACCAAAATCAGTTTACATTTTTGGTCACTAATTACTATAAAGAAAGCTGGGAGGAAGAAACCTAAGTACCGGTGCTAGCTTCGGATCGCTGGTTTCTGTGACAGTCACGATGCTAAATGTCTCCTGCATTCGGCACGCGTCGATATACTGCAGTTTCTTCCCAGAGCGTTGCTGTTCGGCATCATCGGCATCACCAATGCATTCGCGCTCTAGCGTCCGATTTTGGACTATCGGCTGCCGGCTGATGTACAGTTCACGGGTGAACGGGTACTCCGGCCACATCACGCCGGATCCAAAGGCCTTCTCCAGTCGCTTGTAAATTGCGTCGGCGTATAACAGGCGTGCGTCCAGTTCAGCAACGACTTGCTGATTGGATTTCAACTGCACGAGGAAGGTTAGCTCGGTTCCAGTGTCCAGATCAGGATTCCATAGTATTACGTCCACAGTCTGACCGTACACTAACCCAAGTAAAAAGCCTGAATAAGAACAGCTACGAGGATTTATGATTTGCTGCTATGACGGAGCGAAGTGCTTCACTGAGACAACTGACAAAATGCGCCAGTACTGTATTACTCCTAACTGTTTTGTGATATTATTTTTGGTTAGTTGCAGTCGCGGCGAACAAGCGCTGATTCGTGACAATTACAGTACCTAAATTTTGTCTCAGTTTTTCGCTGAATAATTTCTGAATAATCGGCAACGTTTGGAAATGAACCGGTCGCGACGTATAAACACGGAACGAATGTTGCGGTTGCACAAGGTAATGGTCGCCGACGGGCGGACGATAGGCGCCAGGGACCGACGCATTCTGATCCAGCAGCCATCCGGCCCACACTTTATTGTTTGGCAAACGTTAAGCAGCTGAAGTAATTCGTCTCCTGCCTACACAAACACCGCGCGAATGAAGATGAGACCATGTCTTACTTTGGACGGTCATAGCCAATTACTATACTACTATACTTCGAAGTAGTAATTTCTCAAAATCCTCTAATAATCTTATGACAATTAATACAGACAATCGCAAGTAAGTTGTGCATTTATCCTCACTGCGTGTATGATCCGTTAACTTGGGACACCAGAAAATACGTCGCCACCGCACCAATCGATACCTCCACATCGTTCGGTGTCGTACACGATGCGTCGGTTCGGTTGGCGGATAAGTTCGCACAGCCCATGTAAGCCACCGTGTCGTTGGAACGTATAATGTCTTCTGACAGCGGGACACCGACCAAGTGCGCCGGTATCAGCAACTGGTCGTACACATGCAGGCCTTTATCGGCCAGTCGGCGCGTCAACACCTCGGCACTCGGCGCCGTTATGCGTTGCGCGGGCTGGTTGACCTTTGGAGCGTTCTGAGACGTGGTTTGTGAGTCGGACGCTGCGCTGGTCGCATTCGAGAGGAGAATCGTGTAGATAATGCGGGTAAGTTGAAACCTGCAATAATAAGCTCATACTGTAGCGGCAGTAGTGCCCCAAAACGGACACTTAATTTAATGTCGTTATGGTCTTTATCAGCCGTACGTAGATGGGGCCCTCGAGCTCAATAACATCTCACGAATCTTCATATACTTTGCTGATCGTAAGTCCTTTACTTACCGTGAAGCAGCACGCGCAAGGGGCAGCGTTTCGCTGGAATTAAGAAAGGAAAGAAACCGTATATGCGGTGCATCCTCTGCGGTTGCTACGGGGCTGCTCAGGTATGCTTCTGCAATTTATTTCACAGATGAGATTTAACATACATAATTATGTAGAAGCATATCGACTAATAGTGTGAACACAATCGCTGGTAGATTAACTCGAAAACGTTTAAGCTTTAAATGTGTACCAAAGCTAGGCGCCCAAGCATACGTGAGCGCCTCTTCCAGTTGGCTGATGGAGAAATTATTGGTTTGTACCACAAGACTATGCAGACCCATCCGCGCCGGTAGCGCCAGGAGACGATTGAACTGCCCGAGAAACCACACGTCCTTCTGATCGGCAGGGATGTCGGTCTGTGTCAGATAGAATTTATGACCGGTCATCCGCTGCAGACGAGCGACGACACCAGAGACCGCGGCCGAATCGTTGACGCTTGCATCGGAGCACAAAGTAGTTGTCAGTTGAAGGGGACCTAAGCGCAATTAAACTGCTGCCTTTTCGTGACTATTCGAACGTTAGAATCAGATGACTGTGTTGGTGCTTGCCTTGAAGGGAAGCTGGACGTTCCGGCGGGGAAGTGGTGGTAATTTGGTTGGTGATGCGTACGGCACAGTGCACATTAACTGCACCGGCCCACACTATCACCATCCATAATCCCCAGTGACCAATCATGATGCTCAAGTGGTGTGTTCAATAACGTTGCGAAATCTGAAACAAATTTTATTTGATTTGCGGTGATTCAGATACAAATGCAACACTTGCGTATTTCAACAAGTGTATGTATGTATCATGTATGTACTCACCTAGACGGTGGTATGAAGCACTGCACGTCTACTGTTCACTTCTTCCAAGTGATTTTCTTGCCTGCTGAACCTACACACATCTACACTTTGGTAATATTTTGCCTTAGTAACGCTTTCCCAAGGTAAATAACGATAGATGAGTTTGAAAGATAATTATAAGACGATCCAATCGCGTGTTCCATCGTCGTGCAATCTTTTGTAGATGTACAGTTTTGGTGGAACCAAGTTGCTGTAGTCTGTGTGGTAGTTTTCTTTAGATTGGTTATATAATGTCTGTAGCGATAATTCGCTACTTTTTAGGTGTCGAATCACGACAGCGGCTAAAAAAACCAATACCCTTTGGATTTGTCGCGAACAGACAATGACCTTAATATTAAAATATCCGGGGTTGCGGTTTTTAGCCAGTTCGTTTCCATAGCTAGACGCGCTACCAATCCGCTCTCATAAAACTGTTATGTAAATAAGATAAACAATTTTATTCTAAACTTTGCCGTTTCCTAAAATTAATTTAACAGATAATTTCATGTAATTAGCTATCGAGTGTTAGTCGAAGCCTCGGCATATCGTTCTGACGAAAATAGACGACAAAGAAACTTCACTTCACCGCAGTGTCTGCATCTTGCCTGGGACTGTCTTGTGGCAGCGAAGGGAACTGTGAACTTGCAGTTTGTTTCAACAGTTTGTACTATGCTACTGTACTTTTGCGGTGTCCGTTTTTCGTCAAGCTTTTCACAGCTCTTGCACAATCTGATTGTCTCATACAGCAAAACTTAAAGTATGTTTATGCACGGATTTTGTATAGTTCGGTGTGCATCGCTCATCCAAAGTGCCAACGCGGCATGGAGACTGATAATTTTATAAATTATACGCAGTAACCACTATTTACCAGTGCACCAACAGAAACAGAACCGCAGTGATAATAGCCTTATTGCGGGGTAATTTATTTATTGATTTAGCATGGTTGATTACAACTTCCACAACCTCATCTATGTACACTTGCAGCCGTAGCCGTAAGCGACTCTAAAGCAGGAAAACAGGCGCAGTTTCACTGAAGACAACTTTATGGTTTGTACGCAATCGGATCATCTTACTAGTGCATTTTTTATCGCCTCCAAACAATCTTGCATTACATTGCAAGGGGATCTTTTTGTCGGGCGAAATGCGGTCAAAGTATCAATGTTGATATGACTATACGATGATGCCGGTAGTTAGAAGCTGCCTTCCATGCGGAAGCGATATTTAAATGGTATATGCCGGTGAATAAATGACTTTCAGTATACGAGTAGTATTTGTATTTGTGTAGTGTCTGTACTACTTCTACTCTGTATGCACTTATACGCATAATCACCCACATCATGTTGACAGATTTTTAGTTGGCGTCCGTGAATTACCGACAAAATTTGTGTTATCCCTCGATCATGACCGGCCACCATGGAACATTGTTATTGGTACTGTGCCTAGCTGCACTGCGCGTACAATGTGCCGTAGAAATCACCAGTCAGGGCAACACGATACCCCAGCCGGGAGACCCGGTTCCCAGTCCAAGTAAGAAATTACGGAAGTTTTGTTCGGAAATTTTTGCGTCTACTACAGCCCTGCTACGCCAAGTTGGGACAGTTTTTCTCAAACATTCCCATGAATCAGCCGACACCAAATTAAAACTTACCAAATGTTCACATGATCCCTATGTTTGTCCAACATCTTTTGCATTTGAGGTTTTCATGCTGGAAGCTTGTTTCGAATTATAATGAGATTAAAACTAGAGCAGACTAGTTGGAAAATATGACTCGATCCATCGATCTTATTGGACACTTTCCCATTTAGAATTTATTGGATCTTATTGGACACTTTCCCATTTTTGTTTAAAAATTCTTTTGGTGTCTTAGTATAAATTTGGCAACTCTAAACTGTTCGCAATGCAGTATTCTTGCGAACTATTCTATATGCCAGTCGATTCCGGCCAGGTAGGAGTGACCTTTGCAGTCTGACTGCAGATGCCCGAAAACTGGAGGATGACTTCCCCTGCATCCTCGCCTTACAGTCGCAGGGTGTCGAATGTAAATTGTTTTGGTAAAATCTCGTTCAGGAAGTTTATAGTGTCAATTTAAGTCTCGCTATCCGCACAATAAGCCCGGGGTATTCCGTCCCATAGAGTCCAAACAGCAACTATATCGTTTTCTATCTGCAGCATGGTTGATATTTTGTTCCCCTTATTCGCACCAACCATCTTCCCCTCTGTGCAATAGATGTCAGTCAAAATATTAAATTTGAATGATGTTATCCCTGTGTCATCCTTGGAAAATATCAGTTCGAGAATACAACGCTATGTGTGCTAGGCAACCCAGTTCTCCCGATGATTGGTTATAACATAGCTGTCTATGGGAACGTCGCTTAATTTCGTACCGACCGCGAGCACTGGTTGAGCACAATTCTTTTGCCAACTTGCGATGGATACCTTTTGGGTCTCTCAATAAATTTCAAAAAAGTCCACGAGAAAATATCGATCGGTGAATTTTTTAAAGGGGAAGTTATAAGAGCTCTAAAACAGATCACCACCCCGCCCCCTAAATAACCGCTTGGCTCGCCACTGGCAGACCCGAACTTGATGGTTTTAACAGTTCTGAATTTGTAATAAAAAGTTACACTAGTAATGTTAAAGGATACAAGTAAAACGATGAATACAAATATTTTATAATTTATTTTGTGCAACTGTCCCAACTTGGCGTAGCAGGGCTGTATAAAGGCAATTTTTTGTATCAGTCGCAGGTTCCAAGTAGCTCACAACCAGCTTGTGCGCCGATCCCAACCTTGACGAATCCGCCAACATGTCCCGTGTACTGGATATGCTGCAGAAGATGACCGGTGCCAGATTCTACCTGGAGCAGGCCGATATTCCAGCCGATCAGCAGTACGTTTGGTCTCTCATGGATTTCGGACGTCTGCTGGGGCTATCGGCGCATAGTGGTCTGCACAGTCTCGTCGTCATGACGGACAACATTATGAACGTCAGCCAACTGGAAGATGCGCTGACGTACGCCTGGACTCCCAGCTTTGGTATAGCGCGATGTCTTACTACACTTTTACGTGATTGTGGTACTAAGTCGTGTTCGATTTTGTGTTCATAATCTGCGTGTAAAACTCACTGTAAACTATTGTCATCACAGAAGCCCATAAAACAACCGCCACGACAACGATTGTGCCGCGCATACGTATTCTTTCTCTCCTGAACTCCAACGAAACCTTGCTGACGGATGTACCCCCGCAAATCTCGGAAACTACTTCATTGTAAATGCACTAAGTACAATCATCACAATCAGCTTGACCTGCGATTTGGTTGCTGCATGGCTTTTACCAGTGTATTAAAACGCTCGGAACCGACGAAATTCGCTTTGCTTGACTACCTTCATTATTACAGAGCGCAGGCAGCCCGTTTTATTTACACGATTCTTCTCTTCAATGAAAGAAGAACCTCGAATTCAGTAGCGCCATCGTCAAATGGGCCAAAGGTCAACCAGGCCTCGAAGCGTATCGAGCCGCCCAGTATGGAACTGTTGAAGCGCCGACTGGCTGAGCAAGGCGTGCACGTATACGACAAGCTGCTGATACCCGCGCACTTTGCAGCTGTCCCACTGTCTCAGGACGTTCTGCGTGCCAACTCCTCGGCATGCGTCTCAAACGCCCGCCGACGGGGCCATCGCCATTAACGGGGTGATCACGTATTTTCTCGTATCGCACCAAAACGGATCATACACAGAGTAAGCATGTGCCATAGTTTAAAAAATCTTTTTTGTCTTGCCGTTTGCTAGACCAATAGCCCAGCCGGTTAAAATTGACGCAGAGAATAAATCTATTTGTAAAAACCGATTTTTTCGCCACACATGTTGCACTGACTCTCCCACGCTCACGCTTTGCACATAATGAGCAGAGAATCACTTGGTTGCGCTTCAATCAGCGATAGGTGGCGAAACAGATTATCGTGCTAAGTTCAGTGGCGGTAATGAATGCAGTATTTTTGGGACGATGCAATATGATGCTCAATGTGCTGAATTCTGTGTAGACAGGAGATCAGTTACTTCAGTTGTCTTACGTTTGCGGGGAACAAAGCATGGACCGGATGGCTACTGGATCAGAATGCGCCGGTACCCGGTGTCTACCGTCCCCCCGTCGGCGACCATTACCTTATCCAGCCCGAGCATTCGTTCCGCATGTACACGTCACAACCCGTCCATCTCCAGCAGTTTCCACGTGTTCAGCAACTGCTGGCGCAACAACTGGGGCAAGATCTAAGTATGTTAGCTGACCAGTATGATGAGAAATATTTGGCATTAAACGTGGAATCGTTATTATTGCCAGAGGGCGGTCAGTCCGTGGACGTCGTGCTCTGGAACCCAGATAAAACCGGGAAAGCAATTAGCTTCATGGTGCGGTTACTGACCAATGGTCAGGTCGTGGCTGAACTGGACGCCCGTCTGTCGTACGCCGACGCGATCTACACGCGATTGGAGAAGGCCTACTGGTCGGGAGCGGTGGTGTCGGAACTACCGTTTGAGTTTGGCTTTTACATTAGCCGGCATCCCATCTTCTGAAATTTGGATTCCACAGGAGACAGTTGCGCGTTAAGCTGCAGCTGACTCAAAGCGGCGGTGTCCGGCGATGACGATCACGCACTAATTTTGTTTAGCAAAACTACAGACTACTGCGCATTTATAAAAGTAAAGAATTACTTGAAAATATAATGAAAAGAACAGAAGTTTGATAAATGTTTACAAGTTATGGATACTACCAGCTGTTATCGGTTCCATGCCGTCATCACTGTCACTTTGGTAACGGGAAAATGGTTAAGATGACGATTAGCGAAACCGTAGTCCACTATTATGACGATTAGCGAAACAGCGAAACTGTAACTGACGATCTTTTTTAGAGAAACTGTAGTCCACTGCGCGTCTTAGAAGTAAGGAAAGACGAGAAGAGCAAAGTAAGCAGATTCTTCTTACTTTTCGGTTTCAAATAGAGTTTTAAAACGTTGAACCACTGCGAGAAGAGCATACAATTACAAAAGAAAACTTGTAAAAGAACTCAGCCTCACAAAACTGTTCGGCTTATTTCGTCTCTTTAATTGTCGTACGTGTTCTAAATAAATTAGAAAAACAGAAACTTTTGCTGCAGTCGTCAGGGCAGATCCGCAGTACATTGCCCAATCAGTAGAACGGTTCCTCAACAATCTTGCCAAAAACACTGCTTCTAAGGTGTTTGTTCATAAGTGCGTCGTCCGGGTATCGCCAAAAATTCCAGTACTGGCCGGTCTCCATTTCCGCGTACGTCACAGTGAAATCAAATTTCACTATCGGTTCCCTGGAGATTTTTTGCACTGTTAGTATACACTTCACACTTCTACCAAGCGTAAACTGGTTGCAATTGGATAACATTACCCTTGACTGGTTAGGAAACCATCGGTTCGTCGGGTGAGGGTGATATTCAAGTCCATGCCGTCGGCTAAGACAGGATTGGCTTCGGCGAACGCATCACCCACACCGCGCAGAACATCCTCGGAATTCTGGCATCAAACCATAGAATCATTATTCGGCCAAACTCAAATACTATGTGTCTGGCCATATCGAGTATTACTGAATATTTCGTACCAGGATGACGCTGTAGATTGTTGTTTTAGATCCCGGTATCCTCATCAGGGTCAACGAAAAGACACTGGGAAGGGGACAGCCGCTTTCATAAACCCCCACTTGACTGCATCTCGCCAAGATCTTCTGCTGGTGATCCATTGTTGTTGGTGGATGCCGGTTCAGTGTAATAATGCGACTGACGGCACCGTCGCTGTACCAGGAATCGGGTCCTTGTGCGATTTCCATCGTGTCCCAAGTCAGTTTCATGTTGGCCACTTCTGGATAGATCCAATCACCACCGTCGTCGACAGCTGCCCGGCGTGGATCCACAATTCCGCCAGAATTAACGACGACAAACTGGATGACAATTCCATCCCGATCACGATTCCATATGACCACTTCTGCAAATTCACATAGTCATTGCAGTACCCCGGCAATGTAGTCCATACTCTGACCAAGCTCCAAAAATTTTGTGGGCGTTGTAACGCTCATGATCAGTTGGTGACGGTCTTTTAAAAGTCACCGGTTGACTTGAAAATCAGATTTTCCGTGTATCTCTGGTTACCGTTTTGACTATTGCTAAACAGACGGAGGGATAGGGGGATATCACAAAAATGTCAGAGGGACAATTTTTACGCAGACGCATAATTTATGTTAAGCAGACATTTGTTATTAAGCAGACATTTGCAATGTGCATGGGATACACCGTATCTCCGTGTTGTCTAGCTGAGCAATCAATACTGTTGTACAAGGCTCCAGATGCGGCCAACAAGGCACGACTATTGGCTGTTTCGACACCGGAGTCAGGTGTCTGGACACACGCTCTTCCCTCATCGCCGATTGGAAACCTATTAGATGCCGAAGCCTTTCGCATCGCCGTTGCCATTCGACTTGGCGCACCTGCTTCCTCCGAACACCAGTGCAGGTGCGGTGCCGTAGTCACCGCCGATGACCATCATGGGTTAAGTTACAAATTTTCTGCTGGAAGACGGGCAAGACACGACTGCATTAACGATATCCTGCGACGGGCTTTGGTTTCGGCAGGAATCCCCGCGCGAACGGAACCCCGAGGCATGCATTACCAAAACGAAACACGCCCAGACGGAATCACTACTTTCCCTTGGACCAGAGGGCTGTGTTTAGCGTGGGATGTAACCGTTGTCAATACCGTTGCCCGCTCTTACTTGGATCACACCAGCGTAAAGCCCGGATCGGCAGCCGACCAGGCCGAAGCCGAAAAAGTGAGAAAATACAACTTCCTGTCCGGGCGATATGAGTTTGCCGCTGTCGGTTTGGAAACTTTTGGCAGTTTTGGTACATCAGCTAAGAAGCTGTTTAAAGAGGTCGGAAAGAGAATTCAGCAACAAACTGGCGAGACGCGCAGCCACGAGTTTTTAAGGCAGAACATTTCTTTAGCTATTCAAAGAGGTAATGCCGCTTCTGTTATTGGTACTGTAGAAAATGCTGTTAGGTTTTAAGTGAAACTGTACCTTGATATTGTTATCGCGCTATGGAAATAAAATTACTGTACCTTAATCCAGTATTTATGTTCAATTCGTATTAATTTTCAGTTCCTCAGTCGTATACTTCCGCTCCTTTATTAAGCCGCCGTGCAGTTAACGAAGTTAAGCGCGCACATGAGAGTTTATTTCTTCCCTGAACTGGTTTTGCGGTTATATAGCCCTGCCAAGCCCATAGGGGAATTTAAAAAATACTTAGCCTGACTCAGTTGTGCGCAGGCAAGAACATTAAAATCAAACCAGAAGACCAAGACCAAAGAGTATAAAAAATTTGAAGTACTGTCACGGGTACACCCGTGATATACGTGTTCTTTGTCCTTCCGGGCATGTTTGTTTTCATATTTATATCGGCGTAGCCGCCGATATCAGTTCGGTTGTTCTTGGTTTTGTGTCTGCTCAACAACAAACGCTCACGGTTGCTCGCGTTCTGTCGTTTCGCCACACATAGCGAGTCGCAGCGTCTCCTGCGACATTTGGAGGCCGTACCGAGAGAACATCTTACCACCTAAAGGTCACTGATTCATAGTCTGCTTACTTGCGTTAACAACGTTAACCACCTTCCCCAGCCCGTCACACATTTACCTCGATCGCTACTACACCTACCGTCCCAGACGTTACCGCAAGTCCAGTCCTACCGGGTAAGTGAAGTACACCCTGGCGCCTAAACGCCGTAATACCGAAAACAGTTCCGACCCGTTCTTACAAAATAAGACCCCGTTTGAAGTATCTAGAAAGTGTGAAGAACGTATTAACCAAGCCCGTAAAGAAAAATTAGCACTAAGGCGTGCACAGAAAAACGTGCAGATTCAGACTTCACCTTCAGAGTCTGATATCGAGCTAGATTCACCCGAAGATCAGTCGTCAGATAACACGTCGGATAACACAAACGAAACCATAATAATGAACGCCGAAGATTTAGCAAAAATTATTAAGTCGGTTACTGACAGCACTGCAGCTCAACAGACGGTTACAAATAACGTTCTGACTCGGTTAGTCGATCAGGCTGACCGAGCACCTAAATTGCAAATTAAAGATCTACCAACTTTTCATGCATTTCCACATGAAGATGCCGTCGAGTTTCTTAGTCGATTTAACAACGTTTGTGTAGCTAATAAAATAAGACGTGATGACTATCTTGATTATTTCAAACTTGCCATACAGGGTAACGCTCTAAAATGGTTTAATGCTAATCCGACCATTCAAACGTTTGACAACGCAAAGGATGAATTTCTTAAAACTTTTCGCAAAAATCGTCATGAGATCGTATTGCAACATCAACCCGAAAAAGTACTGGATGATCCAATGGGATACGTGTTCCAAGTTTTGAGTTATTTTAAGATTGACAACCCCCAGGCAGATGACTTAACAAAAACGCATAAATTGCTAGATGGATTACCCCGCCAACTCCAAATTGAATTTCTCGGATAAAGACCCTCAAACACCACAAGAATTCACGGAAAAATTGAAATTATTGGCAGTTAAACACCAATTACTGAAACAACCCGAACAAACAAGCCCGAATAAGGTCGTCATCAGTAGTTCACAGGTGGCTCAGCAGAATTTGGCAAACACTGCCAATGCGTTGACTCACGATCTAGCCACATTAGTACCGCAATTACAATCGATGATTAATAACAAATCCATTAACGCGTACGCAACACTGCCAAATAATCCGATAATGCCAAATAACCAACTTGTCGATCAAATAACACACATTGTTAAAGACGCAAATAAGGATGCCCAAATTGACGCCTTGCGGGCAGAAGTAGCAGCAATAAAACTCGCCACCAATTTTCGAAACAACAACTATCGTGGTCGTGGCAACGGCCGGTTAATGAGTAATCGCGAGGTTACAGCGCTTACCGCCGCCAGAACCCTAATATCTCCATCGCCCTGATGGTCAACCAATTTGCTACGACTGTGGCGGCATAGGTCATATTCAGCGCTCTTGCCCGCAGCGGAGTGCGCAACCGCCCTGGGGAGCCGCCGATAAATTACCGCTTCAATCCGCGTACTAACTCTCTTCACTCGTTGCCGCCACCACCCCCACCACCGCCTCACAATCAGTTACCTCCGCCTCAACCCACCTTACAACTGACGCAGCAACCTTCGAGAACAATCCCACAGTACTTCGTAAACTCTGGACAGGGCCCGTCCGATTACGAGTCTGTGCCATTCATTATGCCGCAGCCGGAAAACTAGTGCCTGTCATGCTTCCTAGGGCACGTATGACAGACAAACAGCGCCCTACACGTACCACACCTGTCACTTGTTACATCCGTGCAATGCATAGACTCGCAGTAGCCGTTCTCGATACCGGCAGTGGCATAAGTATTGTTTCACGTGACTTCGCTAACAGATATTGCCGTATTTTTGAAAGGGATCCCGCCGTCGTTTCCGTTGTTTCCGGTCAGACCATTCCGTTAATGCATGCAGCCGACGTTTATGTAGAATTACTCGGGTATATATCACGTCTTCGCCGTAGTAGAATCGTTCCCATTCGACTTCCTGTTGGGGAGGGACTTCCTCAACGACACGCCGTTCGTTTTGAATTTTGAAACGCTAATTTTGGCAAACCCGCGCAGTCAACAATGCACTTCCGTTTACGCAATGTTTCCTCTCGTGTCACTTCCGACTTTCGTCACTCTACCCACCAGTCCAATCGTAACTGAACCTATCCATACACCTGAAATTGTCAATGATGACCAACTATCCTCCCATCCGTTAGTGGGTACCATTCAACATTACATCGATGATTTTTCAATCGCACCTAACCATGCGGAATCCGCCGACCAACCTATTTTTTCTTCATGTGAAAATTATTTTGATAACAGCGACGATGACCCTGATACGCCTTTTGAACCATGGTTTGACGACAAAGCGGCACTTCCTGTTCCCCTTACCGACGACGAATGGCAACAACTTAATTTCTGCCCCGATTTACCGCCGCACCAGAAAGCAGAATATCTAAAACTACTTAAACGATACGCTGACGTTTTTCCCACCAATAACAGCATAGCTGGCCACTGTACGTTAGTAGAGCATCACATAGATACCGGCAATTCACTGCCCATTCGTGAACAACTGAGAAATTTCAGTCCATTCCAACGAAGAGAAATCGCTCGCCAAGTACGAGAATTGCTTGCAGCCGATATCATTCAGCCTTCACAGAGCGACTATGCTGCCAACGTTCTGCTCGTTCGAAAAAAATCAAAAGAATACCGCCTATGCGTTGATTCCCGCCCGCTTAACAGCGTAACGATCAAAGATAGTTATCCAATGGGTAATATTCAAGCAATGCTGGATTCCCTTCATGGTGCTCAAATTTTCACTCAATTCGACTTGTATAATGGATTTCATAATATCTCAATCGCAGAGTGCGATCGACACAAAACCGCTTTTCTCGTGCCGTCGGCACCCGGCTTTCCCGGCGGCTTGTACGAATACAAACGCATGTGTTTTGGGTTAACAAATGCACCCGCTACATTTTGCCGCCTGATTGATAGGCTTTTCGGCGATCTAAAGCAACTCTACTGTTTACTTTACGTAGATGATTTTCAGGTTTATTCCTCTTCGTTCGAAGATCATTTAATACACGTTGAAGAAGTTCTGACCCGACTAAAATATTCGGGACTTAAAATCAAACCAAGCAAATGCTCTTTCGGCTTTTCGACCGTGACCTTTCTTGGTCATCGAATAACCAAAGAGGGTTTGTCACCAGATCCCGAAAAAGTAAAAGCTATTTCCGAATTTCCCCGTCCTCATAATTTAAAATCGCTCAGAGGGTTTTTGGGAACAACAAGCTATTTTCGCCGATTCATTGAAAATTACGCTGAACTTGCTTCCCCGTTAATCAGTCTTCTTCACAAAAATGTCATTTT